AAAATAAAAAATAAATTTTTTTTTTAAAAATTAAAAAATAAAATGCTTCTTGAGTTAATGAATAATTACTTGTTTTTCAACAGTATAAAAAAAAATCAACAATTTAGTTCCAAAACTATTTGTTAATGTCAGTAAGGTGGCAGACACTGGGCCATGTGCCAGGGATTCAGACACAACCCAATCATAGTTTCTCAGTGTAAAGTTACCAGAGCCTGGAAGAGCAGGAGTCACGTGAAAGTGGATGACAACACAGAACAACCTGCCATTTGTGAAGGTCATGAAGAATTGAATATGGGTGGTGTTCTATGGATCAACCTATTAAAAATTAGAGGGCTGGTCAGATAGCTCAGCGGATTAAAGCACCTGCTCAAGCAGAGTGCAGTGGTCAGGGTTGGATTCCCAGCGTGGGACATGCTGGGATGGCCGCTGAGACAGGGCATGGTGGCATATGCCTGTTATCCCAGTTCATGGGAGGCTGAAAGCAGGAGAATCACTACAAGTCCGATTATGAGCAGAATATATTTATTGGGACAGGAGGGGGGCCCAAGCGGGTAGCTTCCCGGGGAAGCTGTCTCTTCCGGGGATTTTTACAGTGTAAAACCATGTGGGGCTAAGGTAGAGAGAATGGGAAATCGCTTAGGTGGGCAGGAGGTGGGACAAAACTATGGTCAACCAATAGCATTACAAGCACCATTGCTCAGGTAAAATTGATTAAATCCAGTATCAAATGGGAAAGCGAGTCACATAGCAAGTGGGTGTGAATACGGGACAGGGTTTCTCCCTGTTGGGGGTTAGAATGTGGAACAGGGTCTCTTTCTGTTGGGGGTTGGACTAATGACTCACTTGGGTCTTTCCAGGTGATTGATACTTATTTAGAATATCAATCCCAGGTGCTACTCTTTTAGCATTTGTTTGGCCTTTAGGTCTTTAGGTCTGGCTCACAGCAGGAGCATCCACCCCTCCCACAGTTGTAAGGCATCTCATCTTCTGTGCTGTCTCCTTCGAAGGCCTGGCCCTGTCTGACTGCCTATAATATTTTTATCTAACTCGGCTGCCTGAAATACTTACACCTGTCAGACACAAAGGTGTCAGACACAACACACACAGACACACACATACACACAGGAACATACAGGCCAATAGACATACCAATGCACAGAGACACATAAGCACACTTAGACACAGACATACAAAGGCACACACAGGCTGATGCACATAGACACACACACACACACATACGCAGTCAGATGTACAGATATGCACAGGCAGCCACAAAGAGACATAATGGTGTTTTCTTTGATGAAGACAGTGCTATATGTAACTCTGTTATCCCTTTCTTAACTGCCAATGAGTGCTGCGGTTCTCTGAGGAGA